AATGCATACATATATACAGGCTCTCCATAAAGTTCGTGTGCAGTTTAAAAAATTTATAACTTTATTTGTATTTGCGATAGAAATGATTTGTAAAAAGGATTAGAAAGAAGTAAATCTATATTTTTTAAGATTTTATTGAAATTTTATTTAAGTTTCCACATGATCGCCATCATTAGCAATACAAAGGGTAATAGAATTTTGCAGTTCACGGAAAACATTTGCCAACTGATTTAGGGTAATGCCTGAAATCCCATTAGTTATTTTAGCTATACTTAAAACTAGGTACATTAAACTTTATAAAAATTTTTACAAATTATTTCTATCGCAATTACAAATAAAGTTATAAATATTTTAAAGTTCACACAAACTTTATGGACACCCTGTATGATAGGATAAACAACAAACGTTTATAACTCTAACATGTTTCATCAGAGAATGAGATATGGAAAATATTTTTCATATATTTTTATTTTTCTGTTGTTTGATTTTCATTGGTTCAGCAGACTTCACGAGCATTTGACTTGTCAAGCAGCATCCGTGCGCATAGTTTATATTTGTAAGTGTATCATAATTCTAGTTTGTCTATGTGGCATTATTTATGCTTGAACGTCGTCCGGATGTTCATTTAGAGATTTATTTACGTCAAACCCGACCATGGTAGTTAAATATACGTTAAATTCTTTAAGAATGGATTTAATAAAGATTAGAGATCTAATTACATGTATATTACATTATCTTCTTTTATGTGACGTGTCCTCTTAGTACATTAGACGATCATGGCTCTCCACATTTTCATTTCCTTTGTAGCTCTTAATAAATTTTGTGCTTTTGTTATTTCTCCTAAACCCTGTTCTGCCATCCATTTACTCAAGCACACTAAGTATGTTATACGTTGTTTTCCTCTGTTCCGCTTGCCTTCAGCCTGTCCTGTGAGTATCAGATTTTCCGAGCCCTCTTTTCTCATTACAGGGTGCGATGAGTAAATTGTCCCATTTTATATTTTTAATTTCGCGCATGCGCATTTTTTGTTTTTGATTTTGTTGACTGCACGGTATAGTAGGGTCAGTTGGTAACCGTCGGTGAGAAAAAGAGAACAATGACGCAATTTACTCCCCCAGAAATTTGGAAACGGCATGCTGTACTGTTTGGCATTCGCGTCGGAAGCTCCAATACGAACATTTCAGAGTTTTTGTGCGTCAATCTGAGGACAGTACAGAGGATTCGGAAAGAGTTGGATGAGTCTAATGGTGATTACGAAGGTACGGCAGCTAAGAAATCTAATAAGAAAAGGCGCAATTGAGCTGGAGAACAACAGAACTCCTTGTTACACCAAAGATGAACTGAAGGCAAGGATAATGGCAGCATTCACCAACTTAAACAAGGAGACCGTCCTGAAGAGTTACAGAAGATTCCGAAGTCCGCTGGAGTCCATGGTTGAAACCAGTTACGATTTCAATGAATAAATTTACTCTTTAGTATTTCAAGATATTTTTGTGCAATTTTGGTAAATATATCTGTTAAAATGAGATGTCAGTGTTATTTTCATTTTTGCGTAATTTAGACAACAATTTATCCATTGGACCCTGTATGTGCCATAGAAAATTCAACTGGCACTTTTTGATGTTATCTATAAGTTTTCTTTTTGTTTCCATTTTCTCTAAAACCTAGTCGTTGCTCAGATTTTCGGTCCATGGTATTCTCAGCACCCTTCTGTAGAACCACTTTTCTGTTGATTCAAGTCCAGCATTCCCTGTCGTATATTATATCACCAACCTTTATTATATCCATTAGCAGAATTTTCTTTAAAAAATGGCAGACATTCACACAGCTAAAAAATTGAAAAAAAGAAGGAAAAACATATGAGGAAAGAAAGACAACGTACTTAAAACAATACGCTTAAAAAGAAACATCCATACCTGTGCAGCTGATTATCATGTATTGTATATAAAATAATTCAATTTTACGCGTGTGATCAATTGCTATTGGGATCGAATCAAGGATGAGACTTTTTCAAAATTCTGAGTTGTTCATGACTGAGACATCCATATTGAAAGTTTATTCTCTTTTTCTCCGTATTATCGTCTCTACCGGCCAGGACAGTCGCTATCATTATCGCCATAACTGATTACTATTATTGTTACAACCACCAAGTAACTGATCCTATAATTAACGCTGCTACTAAGACTACAAATTTAATAAGTTATTCAATAATGATACTACCTCTATCAATCAATTCCGAAAACTAGAGGCGCTACTACTGCTACTTGCAATAAGATTGCTATCATAAAATCCGCCAAATGTATAACCCGTTTATTAATCCATTTCTAATCCATTTATTAATCCATTTATAATCCATTTATTAAGTTTCTTTACTTTCATCAATCCTGAAGATTTATTACCATCTGTACTGCGTTCTTTTTAAGTCGTTTTTTTTTACGAAATATTTTCTAAAGTTTTTAAATGCATATAAAAACTGCAATATTTTTTTTTGCGCATATAAACATTAGTACAGGATGGTCCGAAAGTTTTGTCACGCCTACATAATGTAACGACGCTCTGTGGGACATTATCAAGGAGAGATTTCAGATGAACGATACCAGAATCCTCATCAGTTGAAGGACGCCATTCGGAGAGCCTTTAAAACAATATAAAAAAAAAAGCATAGCTTCTTAAAATATCAACACAGGACACGAAAATGTTGGTGTCCATACAAACCTTCTCGATGTGTGATAGCATCAATGAAAGTGAATAAACTAAATCCAGTACTTTGCATTACCATATTACTTGTTCTATTGTTCTCATTACGTTTTGGTAGGAGGTGACAAGACTTTCAGATCACCCTGTAGATTTGAGGTAAAGTTTTTTCCCCCCGAAGATGCTGAAAGGAACTCCATGTTTGTGCCTTAATGTTGTTAGGGCAAGAATGTGGGACTTAGGTTATCTATCGCGATTTCGCCAACGATAATTTGCGTCAAATTCTTGAAAGCATTTAGAGAGTGCATGCCAGCGACGTTAAAGAGCTTCTTGTGACAGAATGAAAAAGGCAATTCTCACGCCTAGGTTGTGTCGTAGTCACGTTGCTCGCACGAATTCTTGCATGGAGAACTTGCTAAAGAAAAGGCAAAAAAAAAAACCGTTATAAAGAAGACCTTAAACAAGTGTCATAAAGTCCACACGTAATGATATCAGTGTATATATAATTAATTGTGCGGCTCCTCGAGGCGGTGTAATGGTTAGCAATCTTGTCTCGCTAGAACAATTACAACTGAGTCGTGATTTCGATCCTCACTGGGTGCCCCATACTTTCGGCCTCGTGCCACATCTAAGCTACGCTTAGAAAATCACTATATAATTAATTGTGGATTGGGCTCCTCCAGGCGGTCTAATGGTTAGCACGTTTGTCTCGCTAGAACAATTACGACTGAGTAGTGAGTTCGATCCTCACTGGGTGCCCCCTACTTTCGACTTTGTACTACATTTAAACTACGCCTAGAAAATCACTTAGGGCACCTCGAGGCGGTGTAATGGTTAGCAAGCTTGTCTCGCTCGAACAATTACGACTGAGTAGTGAGTTCGATCCTCACTGGGTGCCTCCTACTTTCGGCCCTGTGCCACACCTAAGATACGCTTAGAAAATCACTTTGAGCACCTCGGGGCGGTGTAATGGTCAGCAAGCTTGTCTCGCTAGAACAATTACGACTGAGTAGTGAATTCGATCCTCACTGGGTGCCTCCTACTTTCGGCCTTGTGCCACATCTAAGCTACGCTTGGAAAATCACTATAATTAATTGTGGAGAACTGAGACAGCAGAAAAGTTTGTTTTTAATTGTAATACTTTTCACCTTCCTGTGCTGGGTTGGATTTTTCAGGCTCTAATGAAAGACAATACTGTTTTTTTTTTGTATTAAAGCTGTTAATATCTGTTTGCTATGATTAAAGGAAAATCTCTTAATTCTTCACATTTTTTTTCGGATACTAATTTATACCCTATTAATATGCATAATTAATTGTGTAATGTATGTATAATTGGCACGGAACCCTACACTGAGGGAATTTCAGTTTCCTACCCAGCAAAGGTTTTTTCTTTTTCTTATTTTTTTAAAATGCTTTATCCCTCCTGGACGTCGGTGATAATAGCTCTCAGCAAATCCCTTTCTTTACTTTTTGTGTATTACCACGACTTCTTGGGAAAAATAGTGGAATACCTCCCCGGTTTCCTTCTGCACAATTTTAAATTCCTCGAATTTTAATTTTGTTAGGTAACCACCCACATCTCCCTCCGTATTTTATTGGTGAGAAGTAAGTTTCACTTTAACAGCTTCTTCACGCGAATTGCTGCTCTGTGGAACTGACTCCCAAGAGGATGTTCCCCGATCACTGTAATCTTAATGTGTTCATGTCTAGGGTTAACCGTTATCTTTCCGTCTTATCCGTATAAATTGCCTTTTACTCTGTAGCCCTCTACCTCGAGAGTCCCCCGAGCCTTGTACAGAGTGAACTTTACTGTAAAAAAAAAAAAAGAAAGAAAGAAAAAAAGATGATGATTTACCTGCTCTACACTAATTGTTGAACATAGACTCGTCCATTCTCTACGAGTGGAACGTTTGCTGATAGGAAGTGTCGCCAAGTGGGTCACAAGGCGTCACGTTGAGTTGTACGCATTGTCGCACCGAAGTACGGTATACATTATTATTGTGTATATTAATAAAGGTGCTACGTTTGATTAAATATTTTCTTCAATAATCATTTGTTCCAGTGTTTTCTTTACAATGTCATTAACCAAAACGAGCATTATAGCACATTTTCTAAGATTTATTGACCGGAAAAGCTGGAGATTCCATTTGTATCATCCTGGTTGACTTATAGTTGGCCGTATGGTGGAGAAGAAACGAGTTCATGCCTTTCCCAAAGGCGTTAGTGCAAAAGTTTAAGATCGGCTTTCTGGTTCCTCTTCCCGTGTCGATGCTTGCTTGCTTCACTATTTGCATGGGCTTGCGGCCACATCACCGGTTCTTGTGCGATCACTGAAGTTAAGCAATGTCGAGCCAGGCCAGTACCTAGATGAATGACGGCTTGAGAATACCAGTTGCTGTAAACTTGGATGTTCGGGTGATGTAATGGGTAATAAGATTGTTAATTAGAGTGCGGAGTTCGATTTCGCGTTGGATTCGTTATATTCATTTACATGCAAATACTCCTGGAAAAGGTATGAATTTACCCCTTTTCCACCAGCTATGGATTAATTAGTAAGACTTGTATGACTAGCCCATTATTATCTAAAACATCTTACAATTTAAAAATATTTTTGGGCTTAGAAACGAATCAGTGAATCAAACATTATATCGAGAAAATAGTTGCTGAAGACATTAGGTTTATAATACCCAGAAATTCATACACAGATGTCCTCAAAGACACATAGCACAGTGGATAAACAGTTGGTTAGAACCAGTGACAGGACTCAAAGAGTGTGAGCTCAATACCTGGTTAAAGCGGTGGAGAACTTGGAGAGGTGAATTAACAGAAGATAACTGATAACTGATATCCATTAGACATGGCACGTGGAACTAGAACAGTCTACTCCAGTGAATGAAATAAAGGGTTCAGTTCGACATTCCAACCACCTGAAGAAGGCTGGAGCGTACAACGGCCGAAACGTTGGGATAAATATGACAACAAAGATGAGGACAATAGTCCGAATAATGTAAACAGTGTACATAACACCTCATCTCAGAAATATAGACAGCTACCAATATCATTGTTCTTCTCAAGAATTGTTGAATCTACCTCTTCTCCCTCCAGTTATGGGTTAATTAGTAAGACTTGTATCACTAAGCCACTATTAACTGGAAAAAAATAAATAAAAAAATTGCGTACAAAATATTTAGATTTCTGAATTAACTAACCCATGATGGGTGAAATGCAGCTGAAAAAAAAAGCAGCTATAAGCACGTCGCAACGAAAGGTTGCTGTTAGTAAATGCGTTTAAATTTAAACCTTCTACAAGTTTAATACGACAAGTCGACACATGATTTATTAAGTAACAACTAGAATACAACGAGTTACATCAGAAATTCCTTATCATGGATTCGTTTTTTTTTTTTAACAAAAGAAAAACGTTTATCCGATTCCATTTGCCGTAGGTTAGGACAAAATGCCAAGACAATTACTGTTTCATTCCAATTCTTCGCGCTAGTTCGGCCTGAAGGATACCTGCATTTGTTGAAAACAGGAACAAAGAAGGGAAGCAAATTCTGATTGTTGGAAAATCAGTAGTGATTATTAGATTGTCTCCTTTTATGGCTTCCGCTCGATCAAGTGGATGTTTAATGCCATTGGGGGCCTGGCGCTAAATAACTTAATGAAATAAGAGATTTAGTGAAAATTTTCCCTATTACTTATGTTAAATAGGTCCGCACATTCCGTTATCATTTGAATGAATTGGCTAGCCTCAAGTGTGTGGAGTCAGTCGGAAGACATAAAGTTACTACATTAACGAGTTTGATTAATGGATGGTTGTTGAAAGGTATTAATTCAGAACCGAGTCAGAATAAAAAGAAAAGTCTTGAGCTTTGTGTGTGTGTGTGTGTGGAGGGGGGTGTGGTGAGTGATTGATTTGAGGGAAGACATTCCTAAGTAATTCTATATCATGCAAAAGTACTCACTCTTGATGATGCCAGTAAGAATTTTATTGAGTTAACTGTAGTTCCTTAGGAAACGCTGATGGATCGAGTATATCGTGAAAGGACGACCCAACACTGCCAACTCAACACCGCAGATTGAGCGCCGTGACAAATCATGATCGAAACAACTCAGCACCAGAAAAATATAACTTTTTTTTAAAAAAATCGAATAAAAGTAATTTATCAAGGATTAAAACCTTAATTAGTGAATATTTTAAAAATTATTTTAATAGAGTAAGTTGTAAAGAAATTTATTTTTTAATAAAGTAAAAATGTTCACTAATTATAAAAGTTATGTTTTTCTGGTGCTGAGTTGTCTCAGTTCTGAGTCGTCTCCGTTCTGAGTTGTTCTGGCGCTCTGTCGTTGCTGTTGAATCGTTAGTGTTGAATCGTTGGTGTTGAATCGGCGGTGTTGAGTTGTCCTGCACCTGAGTATATTATGTCATGATCAAAGTTTGCGCTCTTTTTGCAATTCTAGGTCAGAGTTGGACATGTGAAAAAACCGATTGATTTCATTTTAGGTTTTCCAGTCATTAACCACTAGAAGTAGAATGTGTTTAAAAAGAAATCTATATTTAATTAAACGGTAAAAAACCCCCCCAATTATTACAAGTCTTTTCCTTTTGCTATTAAGTGATTTTTTCATTCGACTGTATAAGTATTAATCCATGCACATTCATTTCTTCTTCTTCTTCTTCTTCTTCTTCTTTTTTTGTACCATGTCTCTGAAGGATATTGGCGATCATGGCTCTCCACAATTTCCTGTACTTTGTAGCTCTTAATAAATGTTGTCTTTTTATTATCTCTCCTAAACCCTGACCCTGCCATCAATTGATTCAAACTCACTAGGTGTGTTATGCGTTGCTTTCCTCTGTCTCTCTTGTGAGTATCAAATTTTCTAATCTCTCTTTCCTTATTATGTGCCCTAGAAATTTTAACAGACTCTTCCTGATGTCAAGTATAAGTTTCCTTTTTGTTTCTATTTTCTCTAAAACTTCATCGTTGCTCACATGTTCGGTCCATAGTATTCTTAGCATCCTTCTGTAGAACCACATTTCTGTTGCTTCAAGTGTCTTTTTCATCTGTGAGAAGATTATCTAGTGTTCACGGCCATAAAGGAGGAATGATATTACGTAACAATAAAGTACTATTTTCTTTGTTTCCATATTTTCTGTTTTTTTAATAGTTTGCTTAGCTTTTGAAAGGCATATTTCAATGCGTCTCCGTATTTCAGTATTGCACTTTCCATCCTCTGTTAAAACGTTTACCAAATTCTCATGCTTGTTTGATTTTGATGTCTCCAATATTAGATTTGCATCTTGGGCTGTTCCTTTGGCAAACAACAGACATTTGTCCTATTGAACTGAGGTTTAGTCCTTTCTTCTTGCTTTCCTTCACTACTTTCTGTAGGAGACATATAGTTTCCTTTCTGTGTCTGCTATCAACACTGTGTCATCTGCATATTATGTTGTTAATATTGTGTCCTCCAACAATGAATCCAGGTATGACTTCTAATTCTCTTAGAATCGTCTCACACTAAAGGTTAAATAAATCCGGCGAGAAGACGTATCCTTGTCTTACATCCCTTTTTTTTTTGTACATTTACTGAATTAATTTATTTCTCACAGAATACAAGGGCCCAGAGTCAATGAATAAAGTGCGTTACTGAATAAGGTATGCGAAGAGGAGGAAGTAGGGAGCGGAGATTATGATGATATATAGGAAAGATATCAGTTGATCCGAGATTTGAAGAGGCCAAAATCATCCACGCAGGAGTATGTTCCATAAAGTAGCAGGTTCTTGGGAAGAAGCTTCCTGAATAGAAAATTCTTCTTACGGATGAAATGCATAGCAACGCAAATACAGAAGCATCTATACCTATGTTTTATAGATTATGCAAACTAGTTTGATAAGGTACTGTAGCATATTGCTACTGGGCTCAAATAAGGTGACAAACATATAAAAATATATAAATATCTTTATTGTCCGAGTTGGGGTGTATGGATAGAGTGAGGGAGAAGCAAAGAGGTTGTGATTGCGTACACAGGAATGGACGGAGACAAATCTCCGGTGAGCCTCTAGCCAGTCTCTCTGTCCAGATCAAGAAACGAACCGGTTAAATAACGTTTTGACATTTACGCAACTTCACGTGACTACGCCTTCTTCCGGTATGACGTCTACGCAACTTCGTGTGGCCAAGCCTCATATAGTATGAGGCCACGCAAGCACGCATTTCCTTCCGCCTAGGACACATGTGCTCTCCGTTTATTCTAAGCTCAGGACATCTGTGCGCCCTGTTTATTTTAGCCACCGGATGTATTTCCTGTTTATGCTATCACCAGTTCCGATTTTCGCTCACACACTGGTACAGCGGAAGTAAGGCCAAAAGGGCTTTCCTCAAACGATATCTAACAGTACATCCCAAAGAACTATTTAAACTGCCAGGAAAGCTTGACTTATTTGGGAAAGATATTATAATAATCTATAACTTATACTTAAACAACAAAAACAATACTTTTTTCTACTTGTGTCCACCCAATACAAGAGCCACTCAAGGTAGAGGTTTACTGAATAATTGTTGTAATGGAGTATCAAGAAGGGTTTAAGAGGTGCATATTATGAGGATATGTAGGATAGATTGAATGGGTGAAACTAGACTTGAAGCGGTTAAGATTGTAGCGTTCTGGGAATCATTTTCTCGGGAGTCCGTTCCAAAAGGTAACAATTCTGAGGAAGATGCTGTCGTATAAGTAAATAAATAAAGTGAAAAAAGAAAGAAAAGAAAAACACGTGATCAATAAATCAATGCAACATTTTGTTTATGATCATCAGAGAGGCTTCGACTTGATGGCACATGCAAATCAGTGTTATTTTCCGTCTTCAGCATGGCTGCCCGTTAACAAAATTGCTCGTCTGCTCAGACCAATTTGCTTTTCATCAACATCTACAGAGTCAAACTGTGCTTTATAGTGTAACTATACTGAACATCTTATTTGCCGAACGTTTATGCCGTTTAATAATATTCAAAAGTGATATTTATTCTTGGATGTAAAATAGAGAGAACAAAAAAAACAGGGCTGAATGTGAATCGGCCGGTGACCGCGTCTCCGTGCCATTTCAAAATTCATGTCTTACTTACTGCTAAGATTTCATCTTTAGCACTGTCAGTGAAAGATGAGGGGAATGCTCAACCTTCTGTTAGCGAAGGAAACCTGCATATATGATCATCTTTTTTTTTAAGTTAACTTCAAGTCTCATTTAATAACCTTACAATTACGCTTTCTTGGTCTAACGTTTTCCACTGACATGATGTGGAATGATTATATCAATTGCAAAGTCTGCTGCTAGGAAGGTTCACTGTGTTGTGCCAGACACTTTTTCGCGACGAAATCCATCTTACATTATTTACATTAGT